TTTTTATATTCTTCAAATTTTACTTTTAAGAATTAGAAGATGAATGTCATTACATTATCTCATCTAGCAAGGTTGTTGGAAGGGCCTACGTGTATTCTCTCTCCATATCGCAACCAGGAAACGGAAAGGGATTGGCTAAGTTGGCGGACGATGGTATGGAAAACAGAACGCTTTTTGAGGCACGCTCTTCGGCTCTATCGAGTAGATCTAGGTCAAAACTTATAATAAAAATAAGAGATTCTTGGCTTTGACAAATTACCCTGAAGGGACTGACAATGGAGTTAATTTGATTCAGTTGGGGACATCCACATTTTGTTTCCTCACGGAGGAAGACAAACTACCATTTATAGATAGAATAATACGACAAACTGAACTTGCGCTCGATCTTGGAAAACAAATTGGTTTGATTTTGAAAGTCACAGTCCAATTTAGAAAGTTGAATTCGGTCGAATTGTGCCAAAATGGCAGCTTTTGCCCCAACTTTGAAGGACAATCCGGATGGCCCTGCCTGAATCAAATAAATTCGATTGACATTGTGCACTCTGAATAGCTGGCTCTTTCCATATGGTGGAAGTGTCCGACTATTTTGATAAATTAAAAGCTCGCCTGTTCATGGTTCTTCATTTATACAGCGTTGTGACTGTGCTGTCTCATAGTTTCAATTTTCAATACACCATTATTCTATATAAATCATAATGCCAATGCCGTGTCATAAATATTCACTGGGAGCTCTCATTGTATAGAGGTTACGGTGTTTGCATCTCATTCAATAAGTCCCGGGTTCGAAACCTGAAAAAAAGCAATGGAAAATGTTCTTCTCTAAAATTTTCTCCTTTCACTTGGTTTCCTGCGCTCTATCCATGTTCTATCATCTGCTTTCGTCTCCACTTTCTGCCCCCGTCCTCACTCCTCTCTTCCACCCTCTTCTGGGCTCCTGGCACTTTCTGCAGGCATTCTGCTTCTACTCCTTGATTCCGTCTTACTGCTGTCTTTCAGCCACACTCATGATCTTACTAAGGTAGGTAAGATTTAACACCTAGCCCTCTCGGATAAGGACGAAAAATCTCGGAGGTCCTGTGTTCAAGTTGTGCATGTGAAAGATCCCTTGGTGCTTCAAAAATCGATAAAAATCGGCCGCCATCCGGGCAAAATTCAAAATTAATTAATTCCTGTCTAACACAAAATGTTTAATGTGTCCCGCGTGCTCGTACATGTATGACCTGTTTATGTAGTTGAGAGCGCCGTGAAGCCCTAACCAGAAAAAAAAACAAAGCATTCACTACTCTAAAGCCTCTGGTTCTGACATTGTATATAAAACAAACTATGCCATTCTGACATGTAGCCTACACCCATACGCCTATTCGATTATTTTTAATGCAATCATTTCTCACGACTTACCGACTAAGAAAAACCAAAATAACAAAGAACTGAGAACTGAACAGCAAAAGCGTGGCAACAACAAGAATTTAGCTTTTTCTTTCACAACGAGACCTAGTTTGCCACCTTTGATAATACCCATTACGCCTGATTTGTATTTTAAAAGTTTGCATGGCAATGAAAAAGAAACCAATTTGTGCTGAATGTGCGCTTTATACTTTGGCGTCTTAGCAATATGACTTCAAATTCAAAGTGTTCCTAAGCCGATCAGGCGTAGAACTATACTGTCACCCGTTACCTTTCTAGTTACCTTCCATATTATTAATCTATGAAAATGAACGGCGATAGGTCGCATTCGTCCTACGTCTCTGAATCATCTGTTGTATGACTATTATTGAGTCATGATGAAGGTGGATATATACTACTCTATTTGGCCCAGCAAATGCCAATATGGTTAGTAACTAATGAATTTTTGACATGATGAAAAGAAAACTATGAATTTGGGTTTGGTTAATCGTTGAGTTTAATGGGTGCACCAATGAGTACAATAGCTACGTGTGTGTGTGATTTTGGCATTTCCTGATTCGTCCCCGAAGTTCTTGAGTAGATTGTTCAAGGCATATCTAGTCTCGTTTTGACACAGCCTTCTTTTCCGATATTTATGACAGTCATACAAAAAAACAACAACTGGGACTTGTTTTTGAGCCATCTTAAAGCATTGAAATTGCAGTTGGTGGTGATTTTGTTGTATTTTTGGAAGGGATAAGATAACAAAACAGGAGTTCTGACTTTCAAAAACTTGGATTTAGTACAAACTGATCCTGAGTTATATTTTTCCTTCAGCAAAGGTATCAATACAGGTTTTTTTTTTATACGGAGATGAGATCAGTATCGTGGAAGAAGCTGAATGATCCCGATAGCTGTGGCGAAGAGGGTCAGAGCCAGGACGACGTCAATGCGGGTGTCAAAGTCAGAGTAGAATGAGGAGGACGTGGCGTTGGAGGACAGGCTGCTCCTGTAAAGACAAGCGAACAAGAATTTAAATATCAGGCGAATAGAGTTACGACACAACATATATAAAAACGAAAATTAAAACTGGTAGGGATAGTTTTAAGTTTTCTAAATTTTAGTCAGAGTTTTACGACACGTGCAACACAATGAGGTCACATATAAAAACCGAAGATTAGAGGTGTTACAAAAGAGTGACAAACACATAAAAGAAGGAGGAGAGATAAGGACGATAGATGTTTGACAGCAAAAGAGGAGTAAAACACCCCAGATCATCTGCCAACCACCCACACAGGGGTGCTTTAAATATAAGTATTACCCTTTACAGAACTGGTCAAACACAGTTACAAAGTGTTTTAAAAAAAAATATAGAAATGCCCTCATCGGATCTTAAGTCTGGTATTTCTTTCTGAGAGTAGGCTGTCAACATTAATAAGGAGGATTCATAACCAAGGTCTTCCTTATAAAGCTTATGGGGTACATACTGCCTTCATAATATACACGTCAAATTTTGTGTGAAAAACTATTGTGATGTAGCAAAAAACTACATGTTGACAAATACATTAGCCAAACAGAATGCTTAAAACCATATCTTTCAGGTTAACTTCCACCTTTACAATTGAGAGGAAAGAACAGAAAAGAAATCAACTTCATCTTTGTTTACCAAAATAATATTTTTTTTCTTTTTAAATATGTTTCACAATGAAACTGATGCAACAACATTTCAATTGATAAAATCTGCTATAATAGTTCGCTACTGCCGTTCATATGTGCACCGAACTGACTTTGATCTAGGTCAATGTGCTTTTCATAAGGACACTAACCAGTTGTTATCTAATGTTAATTGTCGTTTTACCTACATTGTAAGTAAAACTTGACATTCATTATGAGCTTGCTTATCCTATCTGCCATTGAAGCAATTGGCATCTTACTGACGGATGATACACTCGTTTCTCCGTCCCGATGTTTTTACAGCCGAGTATGCCAAATAAAATATATGTTCTTATCACACATAGAGCCTCACCTTAGTCCAACATTGTGTTCCTGGGAAAGACACTTTACACGAATTTTCCAACTTAGCTAGGTCCGATATTGGAGAAGGACATTAAACTCGGAGGTCCTGCCTCTTAAATGATCATAAATTTTTGCAATGAGCATTAACCCTATACGATTTCGCACAAGGCTCTACGCTGTTGCATGCAGAAGGACCGGATTCGATTCCCGTGTGAGTAGAAGTTTTACCGAGTATCATGGTCTTTATTTGTAGTTTTAGTAAGAGTTTTGGGACACTTGCAACACAATACGGACATACAAGTGCAAAGAGATTAGAGACGTAACAAAAGACTAACAAACATAAAAATGAAGGAAGGAGTAAACCACACCCAGGACCCGTCAACCACTCGCCACGTCTATCTGCCTGGACATTGTAACTCTTTCAGCCTGTGTTAGTCCTAGCAGGCAGGGGTGAAGCCGGCATTCTATTTGATTTAAATTGTTCTTCTTTTTATTTGTGATCTAGATTTCAATTTAATCTTTTTTTCCGGTGTTAACATCAGGCAATCTATACTCCACCTAAATTAACATTCTTTTCCTAACCGAGTTAGTCCCCTTGGTAGAAACGACCGGAAAACGCTTGTCAACAAACTCTTGTCCCCACCTTTTAGAACTGTTGGAACGCCTTTTCCTCTTTCGCGACGATCCCTGCTCGGATTCTCTGCTCTGGGTATCCATGGTGCGGGTTGCAGACTTGTCCACTGACCAACAATCTCCAGAACTAAAGTAAAAAGATAATCTTTACTCCATCCGGCAACGTGGTATTAGTGGGTCACTGCAGAGGAATTAGCTGCGGCTGCCTCACGCTCAGCGACGTCTTGCTAGTTTGATGTGCGGTTTTAGATGTGTTCACTTTTAATCCAAAATGGTGCACCAGAAATCGATCACGCACCAATTCGTATTTTTCCATTGTTGTGAACACTTTTTCCAGACCAAAATAATTATCAATTTTGACGATTCAAATGAAACATAACAAAATTCATTCAACTAATAGTCAAACCAAATTAAACTTAGAAAATTGAAATCCCAAAACAGACAGAGCAAATTAATGTAGATTAACACACGGAAGGTCAAATATCAATATGGCGATACTCTAAATTTAACAATAGAGAGTTCAAATTCATCAAAGACAATCTTCCACTGTGGCCACTATTGGAGAGTAGGATATGCTCTGCTTTGTGGCAATATATCGACCTTGTTGTGTGGTTAATAAATAAGTGAGTGAATGGATGAGAGAGGGCAAACAAAAGCGACACACACACACACACACACACACACACACACAAACACACACACACACACACATTAATACTGGCACACATACAAACACACACACACAGACACACACACACACACACACACACACACACACACACATCTTCTCGCACATATAGACGCACATTAATAGATGAAATGAG